TTTTTTTAAACTGGTGACCTGTCAAAGGTGTGTCCACCTCTCACATAATGGGATAGACTCCAGCTCCCCGCAAACCTCTACAAGATAAAGCGGGTATAACTAATGGATAGAAAAACATGCATAATTTAAAAATGATTTTCTGCATTCATCAGGCCAGCTATACATCTCAAAGAGTTGTTTTCAATATGTATTGTTGCTTGAGACCTTTAAACATGCACGACAGACTTAGACAATAACCCCAGTGGTTAAAAATCAAACATAACCCTGGTATAGTTTGCGCTATATTTCTCATAATAGCACTAAGAGCATAATTTGATCATGACATCACCAGTTTTTACAGAAGGCTTTCCTCTGGGGAACACTTAAAGAGCCCCTCTGGTGAAAATACAGATTACTTGTGAAAGTAGTTTTACAGTGTTAGAGCAGAGTTTCAGCTGAGCTGGTGTGCTGAGCTGCAACGAGTGGGGAGAGATGGATGGAGGTAAGGACATAACAGACCTACATATTCTAGACTGTAGAATATGTAGATGATCTAGAGGAAGCTTTGGCATTGTAGGACAAGAAAGGATTATTTTAATGGAAAAAAGTAAAAATATGTAACTTTCATAAACAGATGAGTTTTTACAGCAACTGGAGAGCGACTTTAACTGGTTTCTTAAGATAGATAGTAATCCTCACAGTGACTAAACTGATGTGTAAAACTGGTGGCGTGCGTTTTAACAATCGTTTCTCGCTGCCTTAAATAAACACCATTGCCCCACAGCAGTGTGTCAAAAGCTACTCAAGGGACTACAGCTAGTCCAGACAGATCTGTAATAACAGCAGGACAGAGAGGACCGAACGCTGCAGATGCGTTTCTTTTGACAGCAGAAATTGCCGCCAAAAAGCCGAACATGGGTGAAAATTATAAGCTATGATATGCAATGTACTGCCACACTGATCAAAATTCGATTCACCAATGATAACTGTGTTGAGATCTTAATGAGTTGTAGAACACACAGGGTAAAGCACAAGAACATGCTTAGTTTTTCCAGAAAGACAATGAAAGAAATGCTGAACGAAAGACTGTTTTCGAGGGCGTTAGTGGAACAGCAGCAAGAAGGAGGAAGGACAGAAGCTCTCTCTTATGTGTGCAAAACAGAGTAGAATTAATAGATTCTTAATAACAGATGTGCTTGGTTGGACACTATTACTCCTGTATTACCTTTCACCATCATGGACAGATCTGCCTGACAATTTGAGCCTGATAGCCTTCTTCAGCACACAGGTCAATGTATTTCCCCCTGTCGAATTCCTGTCTCTAAGCAGGATTAGCATTCATTATTGGAGACCACCCTGCTTGCCTCAGAGGCGTGCATGGTTTGTGATGGTGTGTGTGTTATCGTATACCGAGGCAGAGCTGTTACGTGTTGACTCAGCCAGCAGTCCTGTGTAGAGTCTCAACAGCTAATGTTTCAGTATTGACTCGGAGTTGGAAGCTCCTGCACAAGACTCTACCTGGCTATTCTCAGCTCCCAGTATGAAAACACTAGGATCAGCTGAAAAGCTTTGAGGACAGGTAGGGTCAAGTCAGCTCTGGTCCTGAAAGCATGGAAGCTTCTAAAATAGTTCAGCAAAAAGTACAAATACAAGTGAAGACACCGTGAGACATTCAGTCAGGTTGTGTCTTTTGTTTCTTTTGTTCTGCTCAATCTGATCCAACCCTGTTTTCCAAAAATGACATCCTAAAAAACATTTAAGTTCTGAAAGATATATTATTTTGTTTTTACACAAACCTATTTTATCAGTCGGAGCTAAGATGGGAGGAAAACATCCAGTTTGAAAAACTGACAAAGCCAACTTACTTTAAAAAACAAACAAACAAACAAAAAAATACCTCTAGAAAAAACCGTCTGCCAAGTTTTCATAAACATTTCAAAACATTTTTTTATTTGTGTGTTGTAAATAATAACTTGATAAAATGATGACCTGCTAGCTTTTTCTGGCCCTTTAAGCCATATAACCAGATGGTGTTTGCTCTGTTGTCATGGAAATAACTTACTACTTAATATGTAAATACAATACTTTAGACTATTTCGAAGGTCAAAAGTGATTGTTGCTCTAAGCGAAGGTAGGATTTGGATTACAGTAAACATTAACTGCGATGGCATGTCAGTTTAACCAGCTTAATAACAACTCCACATCGTGATTAATACAGTGTCGTGCAGCTGAACAAGATAAAAGCCAGAAAGTAAAACCTTTGTGTGATTGTAAGTGTTTGTCAGTATCTGACCTCCCCTTGAATTGTGTGTAATATTAATATAACGTGCAACATCTCCCATAAGTCTTGACTACTGACTCCAAAGCAACAACATTCAAGTCCCAAGGTCTGACCTATTAAAATCCCAGAGCATTAAAACATTTATAGAACAGCAACAGAAAGGCCTTACATAGCTGCATACATTGCATATTTATTATTAGGACTATGCATGAATTCGAGTTACGCAACGAGCGCTAACAACACTGCTTTGAGGGAAACTGTTCTCACTCTTTATTGTTGTAACTTAACTTGCACTTGGCTTAGAAAGACTTGTGACCTGACTTGATTCTGACCTTGAGCTCTCTAATTAAAGCAAAGTCCGTCTGTGGTTGTTGATTTCACTGCTTCAAAATGTTCCCGTCCTGCTTTCGAAAGCGTTATATGTAACTCTACAGCACTGTTTCCTTTAGGATGTTCAACTACATGAAATCAAGTTGTAATATTGGAGCAATTCAGCCATACGCGACTCCAAAAAAAATAAAGATTTAAATTCCCACTCTGCAAGTTGACAGGATTGGTTCATTAGGTTTGTTACATATGAAACCGTGGAATTCTGAATCTGTGTTTTTGAGACTGTCCTCAGCACACTGCAGGTTCAGGGTGGAAACACTCAGTCGTAGCATTAACTGCTTATTTTACTCATGATATGTCTTCCAGTGTATAAACAACACCCTATGGACATGTCAACAAGGTAAAAAACCAACAGCTACATCATGTAAAATCATCATCTCACCGATATGGTACAGCCCAATCCAGTCGGTGGCGTCCACCTCCTCCTTGATGTCCCAGCTTATGACGAGGTTCTGGCCACGGTTCAGCGTGAACTCCAGAGTGGACGCCGTTAGCGAAGAGCGACTCTGGGACGTCACCAGGTCTGTGTCGCTGTTAGCCCGCGGGAGCCCGATGGGCCCGCTGACCACAGAGACAGTATCGACAGCTGCTCCACCCCTCTCCGCCAGGGTCCGCAGGTTCTCCGGGCTGAGGGTGTGTCGGAGGTGGGGGCTGCGCCTTCGTGGGGCTGACAGGTGTTCGCGGCCCCCGACGGCCAGGTTGGGCGGATTGTGGGAACGGGTCCTAGGTGGCAGGACTGCTGTGGCGAGTGAAGGACGCATGTTGTGTGGCTGATGAGGAGGCGACTACGAGGAAGTGAAAACAGCTAATGACCCAAGAAGAGGCAGAGATGAGTTGGAGCTTCCTATCGAGCGGGCTGGTTGTCAAAGATGACGCATGTTGCTGATTTACCTGCACCTGCTCAATTTAAAGCATCATGTTTGAACAGCGTGACTGGAAACATATGGGAGCTTTAGAAATTCTGTGTTGATTCTTTCTCCGCTCTCACATTCAGCTGTTGGTCCTTTGTCGACGTTGAAGACGTCCAACAACAGTCCCAGTCTTAGTGCATGTTATCCGATGGAAATGAGAACCTGAAGATAAGGAAAGACGAGAAAGACAGGCGAAAATCAGTGAGCTACAAAATTGCTCCCACAACAAAAGTAATGACTGCATGCTGTGAGTTGCAATCAACAAATGGCTGAACAAACATTTGTCACCAGAGGGGTTGTTTGCTGTCAAAGAACCTGTCACCAACACAAATAACCCAGCCCAACCATTACGCTCCATCCTTCCTTCTCTGACAGCCCGTCCAATGAAAAATGTTCGCAGGAGCTTCAACAATTTCTTTTAGTTATGGAACTCATTTTTAGGTATTTTTACTTGCTTATTGCTCAGTAGTATCAAGATGGTAAAGGGTAAGCCCACACACTATTTACTTCTTTAAATAAATAATAAAATGTGTATGCCAATGAAATATATAATATAATATAATATAATATAATATAATATAATATAATATAATATAATATAATATAATGAAACGTGTTTGTTGGTTTTACAAACAGTCATACCCCATGTGGAGAAGAGTAGAGTGAAATAATCTAATTTGAAATCCATTATCTCTACGAGACCACTGGAAAAGAAAAATCTTTAAATCATCCTAATAACACACACACACACACACACACACACACACACTAGACGCACACACCTCAGCAAGCAGGTTTCTATGGTTTCTGTCAGTATAGGCTGCCTCAGTGAAAACAGAAAAAGGAGACAGGCAGCTGTATCTGCCTCCCAGGAAGCTCTTCAATCAGCAAATGCCAGATTGGGAACTGTCTGGGGAGCGCTGTCAGAGTCTCAACCAGAGCCATTTTGTTTTTAAAGGAACGATGGCAGGATGGCATGTGACTTCACAATCTAGCCAGAAGGAGCTGGTTTTTTCGACAACCTAAGAAACAGAGTGTTGGGAGAAAAGATTTGGTAATATGCAGCTAATATATGCCTGGTGCAGTCACTGGAACACGATGTGGGCTGCAGCCTGTGCTAAGCCCTGATATCTTTGGTATTTGAAGTGTCTGTATGTCTCAAAAGCTGAGCTGTTAGTAATGCTTTGAAACTGTTGCCTTGTCTGCAGGTCTCAGAATGTGCTGTACACTGTATGTATTTAAAAAATGGGATTGTAAAGCTTTAAGTATTCAAATAAGCAAAGCTGCAAGCCGAAGACTCGCTGACAGTTTATGCTCTACCTTTTTTTTTTAGATTTAAGAAACAGGTTGACATATTGTTCCCTTTATTGGCAGACTTAGATGAGACGATCATGTCCTAAGTGTGAAAGTGCCACCAGCAGCCAATTAGCTTATCTTTGTGTGAAGACTGAAAACAGAGGGAGGGGGTCATCCACAGGTAACAACATCTGCTTACCGGCTCTAAAACTCACTAATTACTGTTTGTGTAATTTGTGCAAAAGCCAAGAAAAATGACTGCAGGTGGTTTTGTGAAGACCGCAAATGGCGACTTTTCCCTAAACGTTGAACTATTCCTTTAATGCGGACTTCCTCTTACTATGCCCTCTGACCTCCCTTCCCCTCCACCTAATAACATCTGCTTCTGTCGGATCTATCAAAGCGACAAAAAGAACCAAATTGGAGCTGCTCCACGCTGAGTAAAACCCCGTGAATGTTTCCTCTCATCAGTAATATCATCTGTTCTCAAACTTTATCTCCGTGCTTCCTGTCAGATTTGTAATTCGGATTGATTTTCAAGCGGAGACCAAGCAGGTAGGCTGAAACTCTTTACCATGCAAAGACTGGAAATAATTCTGAAGGCGATTCATATGCCGTAACCTGTATGAAGAATCGTCTAATAAACTGTATATATGGCTCTCGTGCTTCTGAATCAATTCACTTTGCATTTTGAACCGACTGAACAGAAATGATGAACTGGCCACTGCACTGATGTATGTGGATTGGCTGTGTTTCTGGATAACCATGTTGAAGTGAGGAAAGCCTGGACGTCCCTGACTCAACAAGATTACCAGAGCGCGGCCCCATCTCACACACACACACACACACACACACACACACACCAACCTCATACAGGGATTTATGACAGAATAAAACCTTCATCACAGATGCAGGAATACGTAAATCCAGCTCACGTGTGCACATGGCCTCATACACAGTGCTATAGCAGCGGCGGGGAGGGGTCGTATCCATAAACAAGCAGGAACTTACTCAGTTGCAAAAGAAACAAAAATAAGTGTATCTGTAACTGCTGAGTAGTTACATAAGTGCTCCTGTGGTCCAGTCGTCCCCCTCCTCCCATGTTTGCCAGGCATTCTCTAACCGTGATGCGGACTCGGAGAAGCACCCGTTCCACTCATAACAGAAGGGATAAGGAGTCTGTGTACCAGCTACAAACAGCACACACCAAAACATGACCTCAGGAGAGGGCATTAAACAATCTGGACTGGTTCCAGTGATTTTTTTTTTGTCTAAAAGACTCCTGTTTCCTATTTTAATCCCAATTCCTCTGCACTGCAGTTTGACCTGGATTAGTGATTGATTCTCAGGAAGTGGACACTGATAAAGTGTTATGTGAGAACCCCAAAATGAAATTGCTTTTCTAATTCAAACCATTCCCTCAGATGATGTTAAATTTGACACCTATCTTGCAAAGATTGTCATTTGAGTACCGTTCTGTTATTGGGCACCAAATACTTTGTACTCTGCACCACTGTGCGGTGAATACTAAAAGGAAACACATCTGCAGCGGAGGATTTGATGGAGCATGCCAGACTGTGCGGGATTGTTGTTTTCTTATAGCTTGTCAAAAGGAGTTTCGTCAGTGAACATTCCAAGAACAGGAGGGCATTGAGGATTTCTATTATGCTATTCTTTGTGACAGGTGTGTGGTTTTTTTTTGTGTGTGTCGTTTTCTTCTTCTGTTGTTGTTGTGAAAGCAGAGGCTGAAAAAGTCGGTCTTGTCTGGCGTACCATGTGACTGGCTTGACTGCCAGGCACTACGGTAGCATTATGGCTGAACACCTCCCCTGGTGCAACTTGTGCCAAAAAGAGGACGACATACCGATACCGCACAATCTCAGCCATGTACACTGCTCTCACCACAATGCGTGCACACACACACACACACACACACACACACACAAATACATGGATTTCTGATTTTTTTTTCAATACTGTACAATGCTCCAGAAAGTCCTGCAGTGCCAAATTATGCTCGTAATAACTCACCACTGAAAGAGTTTTTCTTCAGCCAAAAATATGACTTCTTTAGTTGATAGAATCTAATAGTCATACATTTAGAAAGATTGTATAATTTATTGTCACAGCAACGATGGATGTATCCTTATATATATACAGTTGAAACCAGTGTTTACATACACTGTACATAAGGATATATAATCTTTTTTTTTTCTCAGTCTGACATTAAATCAGACTAAACTTTTCCTGTTTTAGGTCAGTTCATATTACCAAAATTATTTCTATTTGCTAAATGCCAGAATAATGAGAGAGAGAATTTTCTGGAGTTTTTTTTTGTTTACATTTACGTACACTAAGATTACTATCCCATCAAACTATTTGGGAAAGCCCAGATGATGATGTCATGGCTTTGTAAGCTCTTGATAGGTTAACTGACAACATTTGAGTTAATTGGAGGCACACCTCTGGATGTATTTTAAGGTACACTGTTAGAGCCAAATTTATTATTTTATATTTGATAATAATTTAGTTGAAGGTGGGTAATGGTAATATTGGAAACTGATAGTTTTATTGTGGTTTGGAAGAATGCGTTTAGTAAATGCATGACTTGTTGCTGATAGGTTTGAGAGCAGTTTGATTTGTGCTTCCAATTAAATAATGTTGCGTCGCTGTGACGCAGTGGATGAGGCTTATTGTTCAGAGTGAAGCCAGAGACGTGGGAAGCAACATAGTTTTTTGACCGTGTGAGTATGTGTAATTTTTTATCCTTTTTTCTTTTTATTAAACTATTTACAAAGAAGAACTCGTCTCACTCGTGTTTCAAATATTAGTTGCTAGACTGGCTTTGGAGCATGGTACTAATAAGAACGGAACAGAGTGCCGCTACATACACTATTGTGAGAAGCTTGTGGAAGGAAACCCAGAACATTTGACCCAAGTCATACAGTTTAAAGGCAACGCTACCAAATACTAAGGAAATTATGGAAACTTCTGACTTTGAAGAAAGTCATTAAAAAAATCTCTCTCTCATTTAGCAAAGAGAAATAATTTTAGTAATATTAACTGACCTAAAACAGGAAAAGTTTAGTCTGATTTAATGTCAGATAGTGAGAAAAAAATAATAATTCATGTCTTTTTATAAAATGTATGTAAACTTCTGGTTTCAACTGTATATATATATATATGTATAATGTCTGCATTCACAGCCTTTTTGTCTGCGACATAGAGCTCCATTGTGGTCCAAAAAAGTGTTAAAACAAATTAAGGGACATATATCAAGATTTAATAAGCTTAGACATATTAAATGTTCAGAGAACACATGAAAATACCGATGTAGCAGATTGAGTAATGGAACAAAAGCAAAAGATGTCTTACATTATTGCAATATGCTGTAAATGACTAATTGGATATCACCTCTCAATAAAACGTCTCCTAACATCTCACATTCTTGTGTGTTCAGAGGAGAAGGAAACTCTATCACACTGTGTTGAGGAACAGTGGTAGATTATGTTATCTTGGAGAAAGAAAATCATACATTGTCTTCTTCAGACGCT